TTCATTTACATTGATGTCTCAATTTCTTTACATTTATTGTCTATATCAAGTATAAAAGAATAGGTTCCAAATCGTCAATTCCAAACAAGCAGTGTGGCTATCTAGAGTGTGGTGTTGAGAAGGATCTTAAGACCTGACCACTGCAGGAAAAAGTTCTGTACCTGATTAGTGGTGTCTGCCAGGAAATAAATAAGAGTAGTGGCACAAGTAACACATTTTTGCCATTGTCTGTCTATACAGTCAGGTCACAAATGTCTTACCCTAGATTCCTACACCTGGTCGACACATTCCCATCTATTAATGGTGGGAGGAATGCTGATGGGCCAGAGAGGCCAAAGCCCAGTCAAAAGCAGGCTGTTTATGTCAAAAGCAGGTTGTAATTCCTGAAAACCCCTTATCACCTTGCCCCAACTTCTCATTGGCTCTATGCTGGACCCACACCCTCATCTTCCTAGAAGCTACAGGTTTAGAGGAATCTTCAATATATTGTTAAAATTTCAACCAGGGGCATATTCTCTTGGCGGGGGTGGGGGGTGGAATTTCAGCCAGGGAAAGATGGGTTTCTGGCAACCTCTGTTGGAGTTTGAATGAATGTTCCTGTGGGTCCTTAACAATATGTGTTGAATGAAGAAATAAATGAACAGAAACACTGATAGCCATGGTGGAAATTAAGTTTCTTAATACAGAGCTAATCGTCATTCATATGAACCAGTTACATAGGTTTTGAAGATCAGCCCGGGCATGCTGATCACTGGTAACATAGTTTCCACAAGAAAATGCTGCTGGAAGTCCTACTGAACTGATAGTTTTGGAACACATTGGACAAGTTGAATCTTTGCTTCAAAGTTAAGCACATGCACCACCAACTTGCACAGTTTGTTCACATTTTCAAGCGTATAAATCTTATCTTCCCATGTTAAGTTATTCATGCCTTGCTTATAACATGCCTAGAGAGCACAGCAACTTTGATTAAGTATTCATAGAACGATCCCTAAAAGCAAGGTTTCTAAACCATCCCTCCAGATCAGACCAGGTCTGCTCCAATCCCAGTCTTCAACTCTTCCCCCTTTTCAACTCACACTAATTCACTAAGTGCCTAGCACTGGGAATAAAATAAAAAGCAACGCCCGTCTTCTCAGCTCTCACACAGCTCAGTCTCCAGGAAAGTGTAGGTCACCAAACACATACACTCCACCTGCAGCGCCTAAAGCACACCTGGCTGCTCCTCCTCCTCCTCCTCCAACAGCCCCGCCCCCTCCCTGCAGGTCCCACCCGTTTCCCCATCAGGCTCTTCCCCTCCTTCCATGGTCCCATTTCTTCCTCATCCAGCTCCTCTCCTTCCTCCAGCAGTTCCTACCGTGCCACAAAGCCCTTCTTCCAACAGCTATCCCATTCGGGAAAACGTCCCCGCTTGTCCCACCAATGTCCTCCCCTTCCTCCATTGACCACGCCCCACGACCAAGAGCCACGCCCCCAACGGTTCCTCCCGCCGCCCCGCCCACCTTGGTGCTGCCCCAGGTCCTCACTGCCGCGTCCCTTTTGCTTCCCCACGTCAGAGAGTCGCTTCCTTCCGAACGGCGCAGGGCCTCTCGCTCTGTCGCCTGTGCAGTGGCCGAGGGGGCTTTCCCGGGCGCGGGGAAGCGGCCTCTCACACCCGCATGAGGGGCTGGGCGACGTGGAAGGCCCCGCGCCACCTAGTCCCGCCGGCGGGCTAGCGCTAGGAGGCGGCTGCCGGCTGGCAGTTGCCGGGGTTACGGCCGCGCTGGGGGCGGGCCCGCGGGATTCGCAGCGGAAGTGACGTCACCGCCCCGCGCCACAAAGCCGAGCGCGGGAGGCGGGAGTCGCGGACTGCGGAGGCGGGGCGAGCTGGCCGCGGATACCCGGTGGCGCACTTCCCCGCAGCTCCTGGAGGCCGAGGGCTCCTCGGAGAGGTACATTTAGCCGTAACGGCGGGACGGGGACGGTGGGGCTGGAGGCGCGAACTGCAGCTGCCAAGGCAGCCGTTCCAACCTCGTACCGCCGGCGTCTGGGCGCGCTAGTTCTGTGGGGGACTCTCCTGTGCCTTCTAGGATGCTTAACAGATGCTAAACGGCCAAAAATGCCCCCACATTTTGCCGGCTGACCCCTAGGGGCAGAGTCGCCCCCGCCCGCGTTGAGAACTGCCCTGGTTAGTTTCCCACGAGCGCAAACTTCAAAGGCCCAAAACTTCATGGCAGCATCCCTCACTTGACTGGGACAGTA